CTCCAACTGCTAGACTGTCGCTACTCAGTTGTCGGCTGCCGTCGCTAGAGGCTCGGCGGGCTCGCTGCGGCCCGCTGCCTTGCCGGCAGCTCATCAGGGGCCTTGCTCGCAGTTTAGGGGAGTGCTTGCAACCAAGACTGTGGGTTTGGGGTTTTATTGGGGTGTAACGGTTGCTCTGACGTCTTGCAGCTCTGACAGCAGAATGTGAAACTCAAGACCTAGAAAGAACTTTGAACCTAAAGTCCTAAACCCTAAACCCTAAGCCCTAAACCCTAAACCTCTTGAGCCGAACAGAAGGCCCTTTGGGCAAGGTTCGCCATGCGTCGTCTGCGGTCTAGGGCTTAGGGCTTGTAGGGTCTAGGGTCCAGGGTCTAGGGTTTAGGGTTTAGGGTTTGGGGTTTGGGGTTTGGGGTTTGGGGTTTGGGGTTTAGGGAATCCTTGCGGACAGAGATATCCAAATGCTCAGCTCCGATTGTGTAGACGTGTTCAGGAGGACCACGGTGAACTGTTGAACAACAGCAAGCCCCTGAACCCTACCCTAAACCCTACACCCTAAACTCTATAATCCCTGCGGTTCTCCGGTCCTCTGCACCGCCCGAAGCCGACCTGGTGCAAGCAAAGGGGGCCCCGATTCGGGACGGATGATGACCGCCTGATTCCGATGGTGCCCATCCTCTTAGGCGTTTAGGGTTCAGGGTTTAGGGCGTAGAGTTTTGTCCACGACTACCGCTGTAGTGGTGACTTATGGCTCAGGGGCCTTAGAACCACAGAAACAGGAGGATCCTATACTATCGGGGAATAAGGGCCCCTAGAAGGGGGATGCTGGAAAACCATGTTTGTAGAATCCTAATGTTTTGCTTCCTTGGGTTTGGGGTCTATACAGGGGCTTTAAGGTTTTAGGGTTTTGGGGTTTTAGGGTTTAGGGTTTACTTGATGTTGATCATTGGAATTTTTTACTCTCAAGGATCAGGCTGGTGAGTGGACGCTTGAGGGTTTAGGGTTTAGGGTTCAGGGTTTAGGGTTTAGGGTTCAGGGTTTGGGGTTTAGGATGCGACCATGGAACATGTTCTAACCGCTGTTGCTGTTGTCAGTGTTGGCGCCCAAGCTGGCCAGGTGTTGTCTTAGGCAAGGCGGACAGAGTCTAATTGGGGGTTTGTACCTCGCAAAAAAGGCGCATGATTTGGAGAATGCCCATATGTTCAAGCGCCCGAAGCATTCACGGCGCGTTAGGATGATGGCACTGTTACAAACAGGCCGGCCAGAGAGTCCCTGGGGCTGCCTCCGCGCGCACGCCTTGGCGGGAGGACGACCAAAAGAATCTCGCACGTGCTTGGCACTTTGATTGGAACCCTACCCCCCCAAAAGAACCCCAAACCCTAAACCCTAAACCCTAAACCCTAAACCCTAAACCCTAAACCCTAAACCCTAAACCCTAAACCTTAAACCCTAAACCCTAACCCCTAAACCCTAAACCCTACACCGGTTTGTTTGGGTGCGGCTGCGGCTTCCTTCCTTGAAGGTGCCTTCAGGCTGTAAGCGTAGTTTTGTTTAGGCAACGCCTTGCGCAGTCTCGCTGCATGTCACGGTTGAGGGTTTAGGGATGTTTAGGGTTTAGGGTTTAGGGTTTAGAGTTTAGGGTTTAGGGTTTGAAGTCATACAGCATCGCAGATCTCACGTCTGCCAGTGTACATACCAACAAGGTACGAGAGATTACGAGCTGCTTCACGGTAAGAACGGATAGAGCCACCAAGCTGATCGACCCCCATCCCCCAACCCTAAACCCTTAAACCCCCTCAAACCTGGACCACCTTAAACCCTTAACACCCCCTTGAGCCTTAAGCCCAGACCCTAGACCCTAGACCCTAGACCCTAAACCCTAAACCCTACACCCTAAAGCCCCCAACCCTAAACCCTAAACCCTAGACCCTAAACCCCAAACCCTAAACCCTAAACCCTAGACCCTAATCCCCAAACCCTGAACCCTAAACCTCGACCCCCCCGTCGCAGGTCGCCGAGGCGGCCACGCGACTCGGGCACTTTGCCGCAGCCGCCCTGGCCTTAAGAAAGCAGCTTCTGGGTTTAGGGTTTAGGGTTTAGGGTTATAGGGTTATAGGGTTTAGGGTTCTGGGTTTAGGGTTATAGGGTTTAGGGTCTAGGGTGATAGGGTTTAGGGTTTAGGGTTTAGGGTTTAGGGTTATAGGGTTTAGGGTTTAGGGTTTAGGGTTAGGGTTTAAGGTTTAGGGTTTAGATCCTCAAACAGCTCCTAAACGCTAAGCCCTAAGCCCTAAGCCCTAAGCCCCAAGCCCTAAACCCTAAGCCCTAAGCCCTAAACCCTAAACCCCAAACCCTAAACCCTAAGCTCAGGTGTCAGTACATGGCACCGGCCACTCGGCGAGGACGTGCAGAGCTCGGATCAGCTTCGCAACCTGCGACTTTCCTCCGATCTAGGGTTTATAGGGTTTAGGGTTTAGAGTCCAGGGTTTAGGGTTTAGGGTTTAGGGATATTAATCCTTATGGTTGAGGGCTGAGGTTTTCAGGATTAAAGGATATGCCATTGTGGGGTCTCTACCCTAAACCCCAAACCCTAAACCTTAAAACGGCACCGTACCTCAGATCAATCCCCGAAGACAGCATGCTGTTTACTCGAGCTTCGTTTGCAATTCCCAGATTGCAAGCCTGCCACCCTCAACCCTAAGCCCTAAGCTCTAAACCCTAAACCCTAAACCCTAAACCCTAAACCCTAATCCCTCAACCCTCAACCCTAAACCCCAAACAAACCCTAATCTCCGATGTTTTGCAAAGTCAGCAAAGCGCTCACTCCCCAAAACCTGCCAAGGAAGCGTCGTGAGGCTTGAGGGTTTCGGGTTAGGAGTTTAGGGTTAGTTGAGGGTCCGGTGTTGAGGGAATGGGGTTTAGGGTCAGGGGTTTCGGTTTTAGGGGTTTAGGGTTGGGGTTCACTTAGTAGTTGAATGAGTACACTTTACACTTCTTGGGATACTGCAATCCCCTTTTGAACTGAAAGTGTACACAACCCTAAACCCTAAACCCTAAACCCTAAACCCTAAACCCTAAACCCTAAACCCTAAACCCTAAACCATAAACCCTAAACCCTAAACCCTAAACCCTAAACCCTAAAAGTTTAGGGTTAGGAGTTTAGGTGTTTGGGCTTTCGGGTTCAGGACTCCAGCACTGAAAAAGCGAGGTTTGCAGAGGCCAATGGCCGCCTCCTCTACGTGACGTCGGCGAGCGATCCGTCCGCTCCGCCGCCTTCTGCGTTTAGGGTTTAGGGTTTAGGGTTTAGGGTTTAGGGTTTAGGGTTTAGGGTTTAGGGTTTAGGGATACCAGGAGCCCGCAAACCTTAAACTCTCTAACAAGGCCAAAACACTCCACCCTAGGCCAGCTCTAAAACCTGAGCCCCCATGCCCTCAACCCCCGAACTCCAAAACAAAAAGACCCTAAACCCTAAACCCTAAACCCTAAACCCTAAACCCAAAACCCTAGACCCTAGACCCTTGACCCTAAACCCTAAACCCAATGCCCGCTCACCAGAATGCTGCGACCCTCCTTTTGGGTGACGAGGGGTGGGCACTTAGGGTGACGTGGGGCGACTAGAGCCCGAATCGCGAACCTCTAGTGTGCTCGGGTTTCATGTTTAGGGTTTAGGGTTTAGGGTTTAGGGTTCGGATAGAAGCAGGGTTGTTCAGGTGGCCCACTTGTTCTGAAGCCTATCTGGGGTGCTGAGAAGAAATAGCCGCAGTTAAAGCTGCACCTCTGTCCTTCCATGTCGGGGAAATAAAAACGCATATACAGTTGCCTCGCCAGATGGCTTCTTGGTTTTAGGCTTGCAGAGTTGTTTGTTTCCAGTTCAGGGATTAGGGCTTCGTCGGCCCCAAATCCAAAACCCTCAAAAACGAGCCGCCGCCTCCGCCGTCGCCGCTTCGGAAGTGCTTGGTCCTGGAGACGCGCCAGCTTGCGCCCGAGGGAGGAAGGCGGGGTTGGGTCTCAGAGACGGGGGGCCCTAAGCCCGCCGCCCTATAGACTCTGTAGACCCTAAGCCCTAAGCCCCAAACACCCTAAGCCCTAAGCCCTAAGCCCTAAGCCCTAAGCCCTAAGCCCTAAACCCTAAACCCTAAGCCCTAAACCCTAAACCCTAAACCCTAAACCCTCAAGCCGTAAGCGAACCGACCCTAAACCCAGCTTTAGAGGGCCGAGTTGGACTCGGAGTCCGTCCGTCAGGTTGGTTAACTGTGCGTGGGTAGTCTTCTCTAAGTAAGGGTCCCTTTTTGTGGATTTCTTTTTTAACTATATCCCCCTTGGGAGTTACATTTTTCTATTTTTGTTGATATAGAACCTTCGAGTCTCATCGCCCGAACCCTGGAATCCACACTGCAATGGCAAGCCCAGTGGCTCGTAATCTGGGCATCAAGCGCCGGGTTGCTAAGATCCTCTGAACAGCCCCCCCGGCCTTCCCTTAGTTTGGGTTTGGGGTTAAGAGGCTTTTGGGGTCTTTTTTGTAAGAGGCTTACATGAACGCTATGGCTTGTATAAGCATGATCTGTGCACCTGTAACGGCCTTTTATGCAAACAACTTTCGGGGGCACATGTGCACTTGCACGTAGGGTCGTAAGTAAGGTAGCCTCGCAACCCTCTCTGATGAAGCTGTGGCGTCAAGGGCAAGCTGACCTTCGCAGCTCCCCGCGGCCTTTTTCGCGGCTCGCAGTCTTTACACGTTTAGTTCGTCGCCTTTCCTAGGGTGGCTCAGGGGCTTCGGAGCACCGGCTCCGCTGTCCCCAGGGGTCTACGGGCCGCGGCGCCGACGTTCGCTCGGCTCCATAGGAACGGCCGCCCGCTGAAACTTTGTCATAGTTGAGTACCATTTTACATTTTTAGGGGTACTTAAACCCAAAGGAGAATACGAGTTTAAATTTTTAATGGTACTTAAACCCAAAAAAGAATATAAGTTAAGTTTTTAATGTTATCCCAACCATTACCTAGGAAAGATGTGTCCGCAGCACGAGGAGGTCCCGGTATGGGCACTCGAGATGGACCGTGACCGGACTTCATGGTTGTGGTACTCGGTGCAAAAAAGGTGAGGCCCTGATTTCCAAGTAGGCCCTCGACACTTCAATTCAAGGAGGTTTGGTGGATCGAGCTGGGGCCAGGGGGTTAATATGCCCCCCCTTACGGTCTTAGACTTAGAGTTTAGGAATTTAAGGGTTTAGGGTTTAGGGTCTAGGGTCTAGGGTTTAGGGTTTAGGGTTTAGGGTGTAGGGTGTAGGGTGTAGGGTTGAGGGTTTAGGGTTTAGGGGCTGAGGAGTCGGGATGCCCACGGGCACCAACTAGCAGAAAAAGTCCCGACAAAAACGATAAGCCCAAGGCCTACGAAACCCTCCGGCTACCCAAAAAGCCCTGCTATCGAGAAACTCTAGAACCCAAATTGCCAAATGCGCCAATTCCCCAAATCTCACATCCCTAGCCCTAAACCCTAAACCCTAATCCCTAAACCCTAAACCCTAATCCCCTGACACAGGCGCTCTGGCTTTCAGCTTCTTTGCGTGCGCATGTGGTGCGATATGTGGATTCTTCGCATGTTGCAATGGTTAATGCTTACAGGGGTCAGTGGTTACCACGGTAATTCCCCTGCTTTCACCAGTTTGAAGCCAGATAAAGTCTGCCTTTTGCAGACTACTCCTCATTCTCGAGGGGTGGCAGCAATGTCGTCCAGCAACCAGGAGCTCTCCGCGCAGCACCTTCACCAGACAGCCACCTCAGCCTACACGTACTCCGGCGCCAACCAGGTCTACTATGAGGCACAGAGCCAGTGGTTTCAGGAAAATCGCTCGAAGAGGAAAGGCCCCCCGTCAGCAGCCTTGTCTACACCACTGGCTACTCCCCATGAAGACACGGATGAGGAGATGGATGCAAGACCCAAGATCGCGCAGCCACAGCCCGCGGACGCCAACACTACTCCTCTGATACAGCCGCTGGATATCGACGCTCAGGCCGCAGTCTCGCTCGCGGCGGCCCAAGCGGGGATCAACTCCAACGACCCCGCGGCAATTACGGCATGGTTGGGAGAATCCATCACCACACGCAAACAGGTGATGGAAACCATCCGCGCTTACCATACTGGGGTGATTCGCAGCGAGATCAGCAACATCGTCCTCCAGGTTGAAGGAGTCGTCCGCCAACTGGACAACAGACTACTCCTCCAGCACGACCACCTTCGCTGGCTCACTCAGGAAAGCAGGATGGAGCAGAAGAAGCTCTCAGGGCTTCAGGTCCTCACCACCGGCTGGTCCCCGACAATGTCAGGTGAGGAACGTTTGTACCAACTCAACTGGATGTTCGAGCAGGTGGACTACTTCCGTCGCTGGCTCTCTGACCGCGGGCACAACATCGACGGCCCCAACGTTCCCTACATCTTCATGAACATCCTCCAGTGTGAGCCGGCTACTCCTCCGTCCGGCCAGCAGTTTTCCACGGTGTCAATTTTAACATTTAAATCCTGGGATTTGCGCCAGCAGTTCATGAGCACTTACGGTGGCCCCACGGGAACCCCCTTGTACAGGGATTCTTCCACGCGCGAGAAGAACCGCCACATCAGGGCGACACCAGCTTCGCCACAATTTCAAAGGAAGATGGAAGTACCCATTAGAGTACTCCTCTCCCTTATCAATGAAAGCGAGCTGCTCGAATCCAATCAGGTCACCGTGCTATGGAAGACCCTGACCATAATGCAGCCGCAATCTGTTCGCGAATTCGATGAGCAGATCCGCGCCTTCGCAAGGATGCATTTTTTCGAAGACAAGGGAATCATGAAGGGCATCCTAGAGGTTACTCCTCAGCTGATGGAAGCGTTGCAAGCAAAGCCACCCATCGGCTCGGAAGAACCCACCATGTGGTCATACCACTGGGCGAAGGTCGTTTATGGTGTGCAACATGAGTTGGATGTTGCAGACCAGCACCAGTTTGCGAGGGCCCGGACCCAAGCCAAAGGCTCGGGAAAGGGCATGGAGGTAGGCCAGACTAGGCGCCACTGGGCCTCCTCAGCAGTCTACTCCTCAGCGGACAATCCGTTCCCAATTGAGATGGAAGTCCGCGACGTAGACGATATTTATTTCGTCTGGGACGAGTATTGTGACAAGTTCCAGAGAGCAGATTTGAAAATCGGCAGCTACCAGACGGGTACTGTCCAGGGAGCGCCCCCCTCGGCTACTCCTCCTACAGCCACAGGGGAGAGCGCACTTTCAGTGTTTGCGCAGCCGAAGGCTGGCGTCATGCAGCCCCCATCATGGGTGCCCAAGGCACCAGTTTCCGCAGCTGCCAAAGGCAGCGCAGCAAAGCCCTGACAAATTGCTGCCGTTCCAGCTTCGCTTTTTACAGTTGTGCAATGTTTTACTCCTCATCATCTCTTTCACAGCAATATTTTCTTACAGGATAGTGATGTCTTCTACAATATCAGTCCACTCCTCTCGCACGACTGTCGCAGCCAGAAGATGCCACATTTGAAATTTCTCAAGAGGCACAATGGCCAGAATTCCCAACAACGGCCACATTTGAAATGTATGAACCATTCGACCAGGGAAGATACTTTCAAGTTCAACGAAAGCTGGCTTAATTCGAGTTTCTGCCGAGGCAAGAGCAGGGAAGTCGAAGCACAAACAGTAGGATGGGATAGAACACCCATTCGAAGAAAACAACACAGATCCCGATGCAAACAAGTACTTCGTAGATGCCCCACCCTACCCTCATTAAATTATTTAGGCCTAGCATTCCTGATAGTTTATTACTACACCGAACCCTGTCGCTACAACCCAGGTATAATCATGATGGATTCCTTGCTAATGTATCATTGTGCAAAGGGCTTCTGTACCACATATTTAGATGCACTTCAGGCTAGATTAAACAAAACACAACATTCATTGGTAGGCAACACAACGACCATACTCCTGGATGATCTCATCCCAACACAGATTACTCCTCAGAATGGGTCTCCGACCCACCACCATAGATCGCCCTGGCCGATTGACCAAAGCACAACACAGTCAGGCACCCCACATCTCACAGCATCAGACATTTTCACAAGGGATGTGCTCCTCCTTTGTAGGCAGTCCAGAGCACCCCATATGGCTTCTATACTCCCTTCCTTAGCCCCCCGCCCACACCTTAAAAATAGAGGAGGTAGGCGTATTCAACTTAGGGTGGCAGACTCAGGCCAAAGAATGTTTTTAAAGTCCCCTAAACCCAGTCCCTTCCCGGTTCGTCCCAGACCCCCCCGAGCTACTCCTCATGGAAAAGACTCGGTTGTTTCCACCCAAGTGAATTCAGGAATTAATAAACATCAAGAAGTTAAGCTTGCACCGCCGCCGCGCGGCGCGCCGGGGACCCATGTGGTCAACGAAGAGTGCAACCCCACTCTCCCTAAACTCTCTCCACCCTCAGGCCGGGGTTCCAGGCTACTACGCAGACGCCTTTACCGGCAGTGGCGTAGCAGTCGCGGTGGAGTCATATGCAGGGCCGCTTGGGCAAGGGCACTGGCAACAGGGAGAAGCCCCAGAGAGCGGCTCACGGCCGCGTAACAGGGAAAAACAACGCCGGCAGATTCCGCACCTTGGTCTTGGAGCAGTCAGAACTTTCCGGACCACAGCGTAAGCCCCGGGATAAAACCATGACTACTCCTCAATTAGAATACGGATTCAAATTAAAAATAGCCACACAGAATGTCCAAGGCATGGCGGAAGTCCTCAAGCATCAGCAGGTCCTCGAAATAATGAAATCTTTTTCACTGCACATCCTCTTCCTTACAGAAACACGTTCCACCTCATACTACACCTATAACTCTCAAGGATTTCTCTTTGTGGTGAACGGTTCTACTACAGACAAATACGCCGGAATTACAGCGGTAATTCACCCCAGTATCCGCCCCTATATCAAGGATTTCATTCAGTACTCCCCTAGGATTACAAGGGTTACCATTTCTCTCCAAAGTGGTAATTCACACATTTTCGGGGTCTACGCCCCACATGACAAGCTTGAAAATGAAGAGGTAAAGTCACCGTTTTGGGACACGCTACAAAGCGCAATGATTTCGCTCCCAGCCCCAGAGCCCGCTTATATCATTGGCGATTTTAATGTGCGCTTGCAGGGTCGCAGCCGCCATGAACACGATATCATGGGACCTCACGTCTATGGAAAAGGCTACTCCTCAGCAAAAACTGGACCACAGCAGAACCGTACTTACTACACATCCTTCCTCCGAGACACGGCTTGTGTTGACGCCCTCACGTACAAAACCCCCAATCTTTTACATCACATTACATATAGGGATAAAAACCCCCCACCGCAAGAGTGGACCCAGTTCGCGCTGGATTCAATCAAGGTGCTTCAATTCTGGGATAAAATCGCAGCGCTCCCCACACCTCCTGAAGAAGCCCTTTGTATCGCTCAAACGATTCGTCTCTTTTTGACCGCGGACCCTTTGTTAAACCCTCTCCCTCAAACACCGAAGATCGACCCCTTCAGATTCCAGAGTCTTGATAAAATAGTGTGTAAAAAGCAATGGCTTCCGTCGATTTTACAATGCCGTGCGCATCATAATACCGGCTTCCCAAGCGACCATTACCTCCTCATCCACCAAAGCGCAGGAACAATTCGCCGCAGCCTTCAGAACACATTACGTCAACACAGCCTCCCCGGGTTCAGATACAAAGGAAGCCCCCGGGGGCCCCCACGTTCGAGTCTACACGGACGGCTCCGGTTCAAAAGGCAGAGCAAGTGCCGCCTCCCCCGCGGGATGGGGATTCGTGGTATTCGACGACTCCGCGAGGGCGCACAAAGCATTTGGCCCAGTACTCACCACAGACACCTCCCCATATTATCTGGGTGCCAACGTCGGTAGTAACAACACAGCAGAAATCTCCGCCATCATGGAGTCAATCCTCTATTTATTACGATCGGCTACTCCTCCCACCAAGGTGACAATCTACTACGACAGCAAATGGGCTGCCCAGATGACTCGAGGATTGTCCAGACCGAAAAAACACAAACAGTTAATTTTGAATGCCCGCGCCTGTTATGATAAACTAAAGGACATCGCGGAGATAGAATGGGTGTGGATAAAAGGACACACTGGAAATCAGGGAAACGAATTAGCGGATTCCTTAGCGGAACAGGGAAAAATAACTTTGGAGGCTCAAGGTGGGCGATATACACAGGCAGCTCCATTACTTCTCTCAAACCTGAACCCCCCCGCTCTACCGATCAGGGGTGAGACAGCAGAAGATAAATACTCCAGATTTCTGTACGCTGCCCAAACAGCCTCCACCATGATTTTTCCTCCCACTCAGTATTCCCCACACAAACCTTGGATATCCACGGAAACACTAAGAGAATTACACGTCGCCAAAAATATGAAAGCCACAGAACACCCAGACTACTCCTCCTATTACAGAAGGGTGAAAAATAAGGCCAGAAAAGAAAAAACCCAGTGGATACGCAACCAAATTAACGCGGATTACACACTCACCCCAGCAGTTTGGAAACAGGCAAAGAAACTTAAAAAGGGATTTCAGGAAAGAAAATGTAGACTGGTAGTGGATAACAAGCAGATCCCTTGGTCTGAAACACACGCGGCATTTGGCAAACACCTCACTAACGTACAATGGGGTCCCTCAAAGGTAACGAACGAAGCTAAACAAAATTTAGCACAGGCTACTCCTCATTTCCCCACTGACACGACTCCGATCCCCTGGTTTACCCTCCCGGAATTGCAAACCGCCCTCCACAAAATGCAAAAAGGCAGGGCTCCAGGACCTGACAACCTGCGACCTGATATACTCAAACTACTGGACCATTTCGGGGAGGTGCAACTTCTCGACCTCATGAACGCTTGTTTGCAGGAGGAAAAAATACCACACGCGTGGAAAGAGGCTATCGTAGTATCTTTTTACAAGGGTAAAGGTGACGACTCAGACGCCTCAAACTATAGGCCAATCTCGTTGCTCAACACAATGTATAAAATTTACTCCTCGCTAATACAAGCTCGTTTACAGTTCAGATATGAATCCAGACTGCGCCATACGCAGTTTGGATTCCGACAAGGACGTAGTACCTTACACCCGCTCTTTATATTGCGTAGACTCCAAGACTACTCCTCCAGAACCGGTACCCCGTTTCACTGTCTGTTCATAGATTGGAAACAGGCGTTTGACAAGCTTGATCACGATGCATTACTGATTGCACTTCGCAGAATGGGTATTCATGAACAATACATTACCTTAATCCAGGATATTTACACCGCTCCCATATTCCACACAATCGGTATTAAAGGTGACAAATTCACGGCTACTCCTCATACTGGGATCAGGCAGGGCTGCCCGCTAAGCCCATACCTTTTCATCTTTGTGCTATCCAGCGTACTGCTGGATGTAGATGACAAATTAGTCCGACAGGGGGTCCCTCAAAACACTTGGTCGGTGGGAAAGCCAACTTACGATCTCGAATACGCCGACGACACTCTACTCTTTGGGATATCAGTACAAGCCCTGGAATCCTATCTACATGCGCTCCAACAGGAAGCCCAGCCCTATGGTTTAGAACTCAACCTAACTAAGACTGAACTCCTATGTCACCCTTCGTTTACTCCTCCACCCCCCAATTTCATAAATGGGGACCCAGTACCCCAGGCAACGTCAGTGAAGTATCTAGGTTCCCAAATCTCTTGGATCCAGCCCACAATTCACGCACTGTTCGCGAGATTTGCACTAGCCCATACCTCCTTCAACAAGCTCCAACATCTTTGGCGGAGTAGACTGCCCAGAAAAGTGAAGGTACAAATATTCATGGCAAACATAGTATCCTGTCTCGTCTATGGCCTCTGCACCCTCACCATGGAAGACAAACATTTCCGTAAATTAGACTCCTGGTATTTTCAACACCTACGAAGAGCCATAGGTATTAAAGCATCCTACTATTCTCATATCACAAACAAATCGGTTTGGGTTCAAGCCAACAGACCACTCCTCCCATCCCAGATAGTCCTTTCCCAACAGTTCAAGCTGTTCACTGAATCAGTTAGGGCTCCCGGAGACCAACCCCTACACCATGTAACGCATGGACCCGCTCTCAAGGACAGAATAGCACAGTACAAAAACTATAAGACGGGCCCCCCTCCGCCCCACTGGCTACTCCTTGTCAGCAACCATGCTATGGAATTCTGCCGATCGGATACCCCTAATAACGACCTCCTAACCCTTCAGAAGCGGATAAGAAAAGAGCCGGACTTCCCTGCACGCCTCGTGGCCGCGCCTACGCGCCACCCTTTTAAGTTCAGCCTGTTCGCTCAGAGTATCGGAAGCGCATGGCAGTCCTAAAAAATCCCCTGACACCCCAGACCCCTAAACCCCAAAACGAAACCCAACAAGACGGCCGAGGCGAGATGTCGCAGCAGCGTATGCAGACGCTGCAGTTGCCCGTTGCAGAGAAGCACAAGGCACGGGAGTTGCAAAGGGTTTTTTTGCAGGGTTTAGGGTTTAGGGTTTAGGGTTTAGGGCCTAGGGCTTAGGGTTTAGGGTTCAGGGTTTAGGGTTTAGGGTTTAGGATTCAGGGTTTAGGGTTTAGGGTTTAGGGTTTAGGGTTTATAAGGCTTAGGGGTCTCGGGTTGTCCTGCGCCCTTGAACGAGTTTTCTCTGGGCTCTTTGGTTTGGGGGGGTGCAGGGTCTACGGGGTTCCCGAGACTTGCGATCCCAGGAAGTTTTTTTTTGTTGCTTTAAGGCTACTATTTGCTGAAGAACCCCAAAAGAAAAAATCATTCCTATATTACCCTTAGTAAGGAATAATATATATATATATATCTCTCTCTCTCTCTTTTTCTAAAAATATATTTTTGGTTCTTAAGCAATTAGTAGAAGGGTGCCCCCCCCCCCCCCCCCCCCCTTTGAAAAAGCTCTAACACCTAAACCCCAAGCTAAATTTCTGGCGAATCATGCAGGGTTCTCAGCTGATAGAAACCGACACGGCCAGGAAGAGTTTGCTTCCTTGGGCTCAGGGTTTAGGGTTTTTAGGGTTTAGGGTTTAGGGTTTAGGGTTTAGGGTTTAGGATTCAGGGTTTAGGGTTTAGGGTCGCACGAAAACCCTAAGACCAAAACCCCAAACCGCAAACCCGAAATCCCAGACCACCCGACCCCTATATCCCTATACCCTAAACCCTAAACCCTAAACCCTAAACCCTAAACCGAGTTTGGTTCTTTCCCAAGAGGCGCACGCCGCGTGCAGCGACCTCAGCACCACGGCGAGCTCTGGCACACGAGGAGAGATCGGGCAGGTTTGGGGTTTAGGGTTTAGGGTTTAGGGTTTAGGGTTTAGGGTTTAGGGTTTAGGGTTAGGGGTTTAGGGTTTAGGGTTTAGGGTTTAGGGTTTGGGGTTCAGGGTTTGGGGTTTCGGGTTTAGGGTTTAGGCTTTAGGTTAGGGTTTAGGGTTTAGGGTTTGGGGTTTAGGGCTTAGGGTTGAGGGTTGAGGGTTTAGGTTAGGGTTTGGGGTTTAGGGTTTGAGGTTTAGGGTGTAGGGTCCAGGGGTTGGGGTTTAGGGTTCGTTAGGGGTTTTAGGAAGATGAGGGTTTGCGGGTTTAGGGGTTAGGGCGGGGGTGTGGCGGCCTGGGGTTTCAGCGCTTTCGGGTGCCACAAGTTCCGACACGACGCCCAATCTCGCATATCGCCAGGAGTACGGCCCTGCCATGTTTGTATATACTTCATTCAATTCTAAAAACGTGGTGCGGTCCCTTCCGGGCAGGGTTTCGGGACCTGGGGGTTCAGGGCTTCTAGGGTTTGGGGCATAGGGTTTGGGTTTTACCTCATACGATTGTTTGCTTAGTAGGGCCCTGAACCCTGCGCCCCACACCCTAGACCTTCGGCCCTAAGCTTATTTAAGCCCTATGATCCGAACCCCAGGGCCCCAAACCCCATAGCCCAAACCCTAGAAGCCCTAAACCCTGTGCCCCGAAACCCCGAAACGGGCCCTAAACCCTATGCCCCAAACCCCTAGGGCCAGAAACCCTGCCCCATATGACACTTGCCACGAACTTTGGACACTTGCCCACGAACTTTTGACACTTACCCACGGACTTTTGACACCTGCCCACGGACTTGCGACTCTTGCGAAATGACATGTGCCCGCGGACTCCATTAGGGGTTTAAGCATGCATGTGAAAGAGAGGTCGAGGGTTTGGTATTTCTTTCAACTAAATCCAGCTTAGGGTTTGAGGTTTCAGTGCTTTCAACCTGCAAAAACTTTAGTTTTGGGATTCACGTTTAAGTTTTCAGAGGGTGGGAGGAGGTTTTCCGGATTGCATGGTAAGACAAGGAATCGACCACACCGTGTGGGAGAGAAACTCTAAGCCCTACACCCTACACCCTAAACCCTAAGCCCTAAGGGCAAAGCCCTACACACTAGACCCAGACCCGAAGAACCACACCCTAGACCCGAAATCCCAACCTCTACTCGGGTACCCTCAACATAAGGCTTCGGGGGCTTTGGGTTTAGGGTCAAAATCACGGGTCCCTCTTGAAAACAGGTATCGGTGACCCCCATAACCTCCAAAATGTTTAACGTTGTTTCTTCAAATTAGGGTCCCTTTTGGGTGCTCTAAGTAAAACGGGCCGTACTCTAACAGGGGGCCAGAAAACCCCGAACCCTGAGTGGACGCATGTGGACGCACCAATCCGCAAAAAAAAATCCCAGCAGGGCCCCTCTATGCCCCAAACCCTTAGGCCCTAAGCCCTATGCCCCAAACCCTCGGGCCCTAGACCCTATGCCCCAAACTCCCAGGCCTTAGGGCTCTACACCCTATGCCCCAAACACTAGGGCACTAAACCCTATGCCACGGATGGACAGAGTGAACTTTATGTTTTCTTGATGTTGTGGGGGTCACTGGGGGGGTGGGTGGGTGGGTGGGTGGGTGGGTGGGTGGGTGGGTATGATTCCACTTCACGGACACACTGCTTGACCAGTGAATGCTTGGACTTGAGATGCTGAAGCCTAAGCCCTAGACCGTAAATGGCCGGGGAGGCCTCCTAAACCCTAAACCCAATAACTCAGCCCACACCTGGAGGAGATCTCTCGTCTTCGTTCTCGTTCGCAGGCATCCCGGAAAGGTTGGCAGTTTAGGGTTTCAGGGTTAGACGCTGGACCCTAAACCCTAGACCCTGAACCCCAAAACCCTAAACCCAAACCCTAAACGTTTGTGGGTTTTTTGGGGTCCTGGTTCCCCCAAAACCAACATTCTGAAGAGCTTGGCGCCCTCCACTGCGAGTTCGGTTTCGGGCTTTGGGGTTTGGGGTTTGGGGTTTGGGGTTTAGGGACTAGGGTTTTAGTTACTGCGCTTTGTGTTATCCTTTCCTGGTGATAAGGGGAGCGTGCCGAGAAAGATCTTCGTATGTGTTGTGAGATAGGGCCTTGAGCGGCCGAAGCTCCGAAACCCCCAAAACCCTTTAACGGGTTTAGGGGTTTAGGGGTTTAAGGTTTTGGGTTTAGGGTTTAGGGGTTTAGGGGTTTAGGGTTCTACACCCCAATCCCCTCCGAGACCTCGCCGCCCTTCCAATGCCTCGATCCTACACGAGTTCCTACCCCCCCCTCCCCGCCCCAAAGCCGCGAGCCCCAAAAAGCCCAAGTCCCCTTCATCGTCCCTAAGGGTTTAGGGTTCAGGGTTTAAGGTTTAGGGTTTAAGGTTTAGGGTTTAAGGTTTAAGGTTTAGGGTTTAAGGTTTAGGGTTTAAGGTTTAGGGTTTAAGGTTTAGGGTTTCCTAAAGCGCAAGAAAACCCTAGATGGACCTCACAACCCAAATCAACCCTAACCCTAGCTACCCCAAGAAACGCGACAAGCCCTAAAGCTAAGTTTGGAACCATGGGCCCTTAGTATGCTCCCTTGCCCTTGTTTAAAGGGAAAATAATCAACCCTAAACCCTAAACCCTAAACCCTCAACCCTAAACCCTAACCCTAAACCTTAAACCTTAAACCCTAAACCCTAAACCCTAAACCATGCTTGGAACCCTAGCTCCATTGACACAGGCTGTAGCAGTGTCCTGGACGAGGATCGAGTCAGGATCCCGGGAGCCCGTTTGGAGACCCCAAACCCTAAACCCAAACCCCAAACCCCAAACCCTAAACCCTAAACCCTAAACCCTAACCCCTTAAACCCTAAACCCTAAACCCTAAACTCTACCGTGAGCCCTCAACCCTGAACCCTGAACCCTAAGCCCTAAACCCTGAACCCCAAACCCCTCAACCCTCGAACCCTGTTTTGCTTAAAAGCCCCAAAGCCATAAAGCCCCCAACCCCCAGGGGCCTTAAACTCCCCCCTCATAACCCACTTTGTGGTGCTTTACTGTAACTTTAGATCCTTAGCCTTTTTGCATTTATTGGGTTTCTTAATACGGAAGCTAAAAACTTAATATTGCGCTGCCCTTCTGAGTGCAGCCAAGCCCAGAAGCCCGAAGCCCCAAAGCCCCAGAAGCCCCACGCGGCCCTGAAGCCTAAGCCCAAAACCCTGAAATCCTTCTAGACCCTAGACCCCTAAAGTGCTAAGAGCTCTGGGGTTGAACTTTCAGGGTTTTGGGTAGAGGGTTTTGTTGTAGGGGTTGTAGGGTTGAGGGTTTCGGGCTTTGGCTCTGAGCGTTCGGAGCTTTGGGGTTAAAGGGTTTTGAGGCTTTAGGCCTTCCCAAATTTAATCCCAAAATCTGCCAAGAAAGCTCAGAAATAAGTAGTTGCTGATGTATGGAACTCCCTGAGTATCCGCACCTTCCCTAAACCCTGCACCCTAATTAAGGACTGAGCCCGTTCTTGCTCCTCTTTCTGTTGTTTGCTGGTTCTGCGCTTTCGTGTCGTTCATGTGGTCCCATCCCCCATCCCCAGGATTTAGGGTGTAGGGTTTAGGGTTCAAGGTTATTGATGCACGGACCGGCGCAGACCGGTGCAAAGTTGTACCGGCTGTGGCACATCGTGGCCTTTTAGAGCCTCGCGTGTTCCCCTAAACCCTAAACCCTAAACCGTTCCTTGGGTCGCCAGCTTGATTCACGATGACACAAATAAGCACGGCCCAAGGACTCCGTGCCAATCTCGCCTGTGCGATGATGACCTGTGTGCCGAGGGGCCTCAATCTGAAGGTTGGAAGTGGTTGATTCTGGTCTCTTGCCGCTGATGACCGTCTCCTTCGCACGCTTGCAGCCGAACAGAAATATGGCGAGACCGCCGGTGACCAGCTGAGTCTTCAGGACGACCCCAATGCAGCACAGGCCCTCGAAAGTGAGGGCAGGAAAGACGATGCCGGCAACATTGGTACGGACGCTGGCAACGCGGAGGGCATCATCATGGACAACGACACCGCGGGAGGCAACAGTCGGGACGGTGACGCCAATGTGCAAGATAACCGAAATGATAGCAGTAGCGTTCCTTCTCTTTCTCTTCCAGCGTGGCCTCGTCGGGCGAAGAGGATCAGAACTAAAGAACAGAAAAAGGCTGGAGCAGCGAAGGCAAGGGGAGCTTACGTGCAAGTGGGGCAGAAGTGGATTATAACCGAGTACCGCTGGCCAAGAGTGGAGGATCATGTTTGTTGGGACATCGACCTACCAGCAGCTGGGTGCAGTGATCTGGCAGATCCGGCGTATGCTGCTTTGGCAGGCAATTTGGAACTCATGCAAACGTTTGGAGCCAAGATCGCCGAGGGCGTTGATGGATACCTTGCATCGAGGTGGGTTCATCGGAACCTTGGGTTGGCTCATCACAAATCACCCTGGTTGCGTGGGGAAGAAGCTCGAGCAGCCGCCTGTGAGAAAGCTTGTGTGTTCCAAAGCTAGCCTCAGTAAGCTGCAGAGTAGGAACCCTTCAAGGAGGAGCGGCAACTCGCAGCAGCCATCGCTGCTTCTCAGACCACTGTCGATAGATGCCCGCGCCTCCGCGAAGACCCGGGCGAGCGTGACCCGCCGGAACCTCGGTCCAAGCAGAAGGCGTAACCTCTCGCAAAACGTCGTCCCCTTGCCAGGACGTCGCTAGCAAGTCGGGACGCGTGCCGCCCTGGTGGCGGCAGCGGCAGTGGCAGCGCACGCCCTGGTGGCGGCAGCGGCAGTGGTAGTGCAGCCTAAACTCGTACCTGCCTGCGAGCCACAAAGTGAGTCACTGTGCATGTCTCTGTCTCTGTGTGTGTGTGTGTGTGTGTGTGTGTGTGTGTGTGTGTGTGTGTGTGTGTGTGTGTGTGTGTGTGTGTGTGTGTGTGTGTGTGTGGTGTGTGTGTGTGTGTGTGTGGTGTGTGTGTGTGTGTGTGCTGTGTGTGCTGTGTGTGCTGTGTGTGCTGTGTGTGCTGTGTGTGCTGTGTGTGGTGTGTGTGGTGTGTGTGGTGTGTGTGGTGTGTGTGGTGTGTGTGGTGTGTGTGGTGTGTGTGGTGTGTGTGGTGTGTGTGGTGTGTGTGGTGTGTGTGGTGTGTGTGGTGTGCTTGTGAATAAGCCAAAGTTGCATGCTTGCTGCTTGAACAGGAAGCGGCGAAGCAGTCTTGGGTCTTCTGGCGCTACTGGAATTTGTCTTTGGTAGACACGCAGTACTACCCTCGGCGTAGTAAAGGGTCACTACGTTCGAATGGTTTGGCGCGAGTACAAGCTTTGCTGCGAGTACCTCTCGGAAGGAAAGAGGCAAAGGAAAAGGAAAAGGACAATCTTAGGGCGGTTATCGGTTCAGGATACACCCCTCAAACCATGATCCTTACCGCGCTGCACAGGTGGAGAGAAAACATCGGTTGCAGGAGTTCGTGCGCCTTGGCCGTGTGTTAGGAACCCGAAGCCCGAAACCCTAAAGGGCCTCAACCCTAGGCTTCAGAGTTTAAGGGGCATTGGGTCAGTGGAGTGAGGGTTTGGGGAAGTGGGTGTTGTGGTTTTCAGAGTTTAAGGGGCATTGGGTCAGTGGAGTGAGGGTTTGGGGAAGTGGGTGTTGTGGTTTTTTGGTTTTTGGGGTGTTGGGGTGTGGGGGTGTTGGGGTGTTGGGGTGTTGGGGTGTTGGGGTGTTGGGGTGTTGGGGTGTTGTGGTGTTGGGGTGTTGGGGTGTTGGGGTGTTGGGGTTTTTGGGATTTTTGGGTTTTGTGGGCAGTTGGGGTGTTGGTGTGTTGGGGTGTCGGGGTGTTGGGGTGTTGGAGTGCTGGGGTGTTGGGGTGTTGGAGTGTTGGGGTGTTGGGGAGGGTTGCAAGTACGGAGACCTTCTGCCATAGCCTCATGCCGCGATGTTTACCCATCATCCTCCAAGTAAGGGGCTGGAGGCCCTAAATCAGATACCTAGCCGTTAAACCCGAAACCCCAAGTAAGCCCGAAAAACCAAACACGCCCAAACCCGCAACCCTAAACCCTATACAAACCATAAACCCCATCAAACCCTAAACCTTACATAAACCCTTAACCTCAAATAGACCGTCAATGTCATAATAGACACTGAGGATAGAACTTGGGCAAGCGGAACCCTGCCAATGGAAGAGGGAGTGCGAGATGGCGCCCTGGATTCTAAGGTTTGGGTTTAGGGTTCAGGGCTGATGCAGGGTTTAGGGTTTAGGGGTTAGGGTTTAGGGTTTAGGGTTTGGGGTTTAGGGTTGAGGGTTCAGGGTTAAGGTAGGGTTCAGGGTGTTGGGGGCTTCATGGCTTTAGGGTTTCAGGGCTTTGGGGGTTTCGCGGTTTTGGGGTTTTGCCGCTTTAGGGCTTGCGGGAGGTTTAGGGTTTAGAGTTTAGGGTTTATGGCTAGGGTTTAGGGTTTTGGACATTCCTCTACTCCCCCTTAAGTTGCCTACCAAGCCGGTTGTTCCTGTAAACCCGCGGCGCAGTCCTACTTCCTCAGCTTGAAACCTTTCAACTCTAAGGCCTAAACCCCAAACCCTAAATTCTGAAACCCTGAAACTCTAAAACCAACCCCAAAAGCCCCAAAAACCCAAACTTCAAAGCCCTAAAGCCCCAAAACGCTGAAACCCCAAAAACCCTAAACCCTGAAACAAAACCCTGAAAGCCCTAAACCCTAAACCCCCCTGACCCCCCCCCCCCCCCCAAAACTTCCAGGGGGTCATGAGCTGCAGTTCCTCGATCTGCTCCTTTCACCCATGCAACTCCGCTTTTCGGCGTGGAGGTGCGGGCGGGGAACTAGGTTTGAGGGGGCGTGGGGGGAGGGGGTTTGGGGCAGGGGGAGGGGGTTTGGGAGTTGGCCGGGTTAGGGGGAGGGGGGTTTGGGGTTTGGGGTTTAGGGTTTAGGGTTTAGGGTTGAGGGTTACAGGGCCCCCTTTAAAGCTTCAGCAAGATCACCAAATCAGCCTGGAGAGCCCTCACCGAGCGTCCCCCCGCTGGCAGTCAGCAGCGGCGATGATTTGATCGACCTCGCCATGGCCGCCGCCTGCTTTCAAGAGCCGGGTCAGTGACAACAACAACAGCAACGAAGGACTAGGACCCAGAGTCCCTTTTTGGGGCTTAGGGTTTAGGGTTTAGGGTTTAGGGCTAGGACCCAGAGTAGGTTTTGAGGGTTTAGGTTCTTTTCAAACTTAGGTTACTCTTGGGTATAGATGATGATAATCATGAAAAGGAACACGAAACACGTACAATGATGACTGAGAGAAGTAGAAGAGTTCATAGGCATGGGCTTAGCTTGATTTAGGTGAATTCTATTTGATCGCTGTCTTGCTATTGTAATACATTACATTGCGTTACGCCACATTGCATTACATTACATTGCGTTACATTACATTACATTACATTACGTTACATTACATTACATTACGTTACATTACATTACATTGCATTACATTGCATTACATTGCGTTGCGTTGCATTGCATTGCATTGCGTTATTGTATGTTATAGTCTACGACAAACCCGAATATTCACAATCGTTGTTCAGGGTTTGTCAGGGCTTGGCCGTGGGAGCGCTTCGGTTTGGGGATGATGCCCAAGGGGGTGTAGCGCCCAGCATTACTTTCGTTGAGGCATATTGCCGGTTTCGGGGTTTAGGGCTTGTGGGGTCTTACTTGGGCTTGTGGAGGCCTTTTACCTGCCCTAAGCCTTAAATACGAAACCCTAAACCCCAAACCCGAAACCCTGAACCCTAAACCTAAACCCGTGATGCGTAGTAAGGCCTTGGTATCAACGCCCGCTGAAATTCTCAGCCCTCAACCCCGGACGACATCTCAGCGGCTTCAGGTGCATTCGGGCTTAGGGTTTAGGACTTTGGGGTTCAGGGTTTAGGATTCAGGGGGTTTAGGATGCAGGGTTTAGGGCTTCGGATTTATGAGGGTTTAGGGTTCAGGATGCAAGGGTTTAGGGTTTAGGGCTTCTGAGGGTTTAGGGTCCAGGATGCAGGGTTTAGGATGCAAACTGGCCTGGATGCCCAAACCCGCAAGCTGCTGTGGTAAACCCTAAACCCTAAGCCCTAAGCCCTAAACCCTAAACCCTAAACCCTAAACCCTAAACCCTAAACCCTAAACCCTAAACCCTAAACCATAAGCCCTAAGCCCTAAACCCTAAACCCCGCACTCAGGAATTCCGGTCTACCACTGCAAGCGAGGATGACATCGCAGACCTGCGAGGACTCGATAGCCCCTGGGCGCACTGATCCTGGCCCTAAAATACGAAATCCCTCAGCCCCCCACCTCTCCCCCCACCATAGCCTTCCCCGACAGCCCCTAAATCCCTGAGCCTCCAAGACACCCGAGAGCCCAAATCTCCCGAACCCTGAGGGTCTGAGGCCCTGAAACCCTGAAACCCTGAAACCCTGAAACCCTGAAACCCTGAAACCCTGAAACCCTAAAAGCCCCCTAACCCCTCAACGCCCTGAACCCTAATTTTCCGGAATCCCGCACCCTAAAGCCTAAACCCTAAACCCTAAACCCTAAACCCTAAACCCCAAACCCCAAACCCTCAACCGGGCATTGGGAAGCCCCGACCTTCAGCGCCTGGCGACTTCAGGCTTCGGGGCTTTGTCGGGCGCTTCGGGCTGCTTTAGGGCTCTGTAAGGCTTTTGGGACTGGCATCTTCGGGCTGCGGGTCAGGGTTTAGGGGTTTCAGGGTTTAGGGTTCCAGGGTTTCAGGATTTCAGGGTTTCAGGGGTTGTCGGGGTTTTGGGATCTAAAGTCGGAGGTTTTCGGGTCCCGATGCCATGGATTTTCAGAAATGCCGAGGGTGCCGAGGATGCCTAAGCCCAGGGGCACCTTCCAAGCAGGGTTTGGGTTTTAGGGTTTAGGGTTTCGGGTTTAGGGTTTAGGGTTTGAGGGTTTTAGGGTTTTAGGGTTTAGGGTTAAGGGTTTAGGGTTTGGGGTTTGGAGGTTTTGGAGGCTTTGGAGGCTTTGGAGGCTTTGGAGGCTTTGGAGGCTTTGGAGGCTTTTGGAGGCTTTTGGAGGCTTTGGGGGGGTTTGGGGGTTTGGAGGCTTTGGAGGCTTTTGGAGGCTTTGGGAGGCTTTGGGGGGGTTTGGGGGTTTTAGGGGCTTCGGGGTTTAGGGCTTGGTTCGGCGAAGCGGATCCTCAACGGAATCCACGCCCGCTAAACGACGGAGCGCTGAGGGGTGTTGATCTCGCGCTGCGAGCATAGAGCCACATGGGGGTTTACGATGTTAGGGGCACCTTCTTGGGGTCCTTATTATAAGGGAAACCTACTGTTTGTGGAACCCTAAACCCTAAACCCTAAACCCGAAACCCTAAACCCTAAACCCTAAACCCTAAACCCTAAACTCTAAACTCTAAACCCTAAACCCTAAACCCTACAAACTATTTTCGTAAACCCTCCAAGTTTTGCCGAGGCGACGACGAGGACGAATACTGATGGCGCCTTTGTGCCTGATCCTGGCTACAAGCTGCGATGAAATAGGGCTGAGGGTTTTAGGGGTTAGGGTTTAGGGCTTAGGGTTTGGGGCTGAGGGTTTGGGGTTTCGGTAGAAATCAGGTTCCCTTCACAGACTATGGTATATACGCTCTAAGCTCTAAGCTTTAAGCTCTAAGCTCTAAGCTCTAAGCTCTCAGCTCTCAGCTCTCAGCTCTACGCTTGAAGCTCTCCGCTCTAAGCTTACTGCTTCATATCGACCTGGAACAGCTTTTAAACTTCCCCTATGTTTTGCAAGCTGATAGAACCCCTGGTCATGAAGAAATGCAGGGTAATGTTGGGGATGGGTAGAAAGGTTTGCCTAGTGTGGTCTTTTCCTTGCATCACACCGCCGCTGCTTGTTTGGGCGTCTTTTCGTCCTGAGTTCTCTTATTTCCACCCAGGATTATGGGTGCGGTTGGCCGGGCATGTCACAAGAGTTGGGTTCTTTGGGGGTTGAGGGCTCCTTGAAGCGCAGAAGGGGCAAGAGGTTTTTGAACGAAGCGCGCTGCTCTTAAGACACGCCTTGGCCACTCGCTTGTTTAGCATACTTGGGGTCAACGAGGCACCAAAGATGTCATCCCGAGCCCTCCCAAGCCGCACCCCTACTTACGTTGTTTGAACTGGGGGCGAAGGCAGGTACCATAAGTCGGGGTATCAAGTAAACCCTTGTACCTCCAAGTAGAAGCCGACGTGTTCCCATACAAAGACAGCCTTCCCAGCATGACTCGCGCGCCTTTGTTGACCCCGTCTGATGGAGGGCTTCATCTTCCCAGACAAGACGCTGCAAAACGCTGTGTCAGAAACAGTGCCCCTTGGTTGGGGCTTGTACAGCCTGGCCTGCCGTAATGTTCGTCAACCATGGCTCGGATAGTGGACTCGGGAATCATGGGTCTAATTCTACGGGCTTCCCTGAACCCTACTCTAACCCTTGAGGGTTTAGGGCCGATTTAGGGTTAGAGGTAATGAGATTGGGAGTTGCTCTCAGCCTTCTGAAACCAGTGTTTTCAGGAGAGGCAAGGGTGAGGAAGAATGTACGTTACAGGCAGAAGGAGACACAGTGTTTGGATAAGGAAAATGAGGAAACTGCATTCTAGTAAACAAAGGGAAACTGGAAGCAAAGCTAAGGAATTGCACGGTTATGTGAAGGACCGTCCCTTTGAAGGTTTTGAGGGTCTGAGGGTGTAGGGACGGTGTTTTGGATTGGACTGAAGGGCTGCGAGCTTGAATCTGAGGCTCTCTGCAGTAGGGTTTAGGGTTTAGGGTTTAGGGTTTAGGGGTTTAGGGGTTTAGGGGTTTAGGGGTTTAGGGGTTTAGGGGTTTAGGGGTTTAGGGGTTTAGGGGTTTAGGGGGTTAGGGGGTTAGGGGTTTAGGGGTTTAGGGGTTTAGGGGTTTAGGGGTTTAGGGGTTTAGGGGTTTAGGGGTTTAGGGGTTTAGGGGTTTAGGGGTTTAGGGGTTTAGGGGTTTAGGGGTTTAGGGGACCACTATCTGTACGTAACATACATCTGCAGCGGCGCATTTCCCCATCGCGCCATCTGGATGGCAACCGCCTCCTCAGAGATGGGTTCGTGCAGGGCACACCAAACTGAAATCCTAGCCTGCGAAAAATCAGCAGCTCTGGATGAATGCAGCGTTGTCACTGTGCGCTTAGCCCTAAACCCTAAACCCTAAACCCCAAACCCTAAACCCTAAACCTAAACCCTAAATCCTAAACCCTTAAACTTTAAAACCCTAAAACCCTAAAACCCTAAAACCCCAAACCCTAAACCCTGACCCTAAGCCCTAAGTCCTAAACCCTAAACCCTAATCCTTGTACTCCCTCTTGAACCCCAGAACCCCTCCCTAAATGCCGGGCATAAACTCCCTACAAGCACAACCCGTAGCCCAACACTCCTGTTGTGCTTTACTGTAACTCTAGATCCTTTGCCTTTTTGAGTTTATTGGGTTTCTTAATAAGGCAGCTAAAGATTTGGTTTATAGCTACCCTCCTAAGTGCAGCCAAGACCCCAAAAAGAAACCCAAATGCCCAAACTCTCAAACCCCAAGGCCCACGGCCCAGGTTTTATCCCAGCTAGGGTTTAGGGTTTAGGGTTTAGGGTTTAGGGTTTAGGGTTTTGGGTTTTGGGTTTTGGGGTTTAGGGTGGAGAGCTCGGGGAACCCTAAAGCCCTAAAGCCCTAAGCACTAAAATCTTGAGCCCAAAAGTCCCTCAACCCCTAAACCGCAAGCCCCAAGGAAGCTAGAGTTTAGGGTTTCGGGTTTAGGGTTTCGGGTTTAGGGTTTCGGGTTTAGGGTTTAGGGTTTAGGGTTTAGGGTTCCCTAAACCCTAAACCCTAAACCCTAAACCCTAAACCCTAAACCCTAAACCCTAAACCCTAAACCCTAAACCCTAAACCCTAAACCCTAAACCCTAAACCCTAAACCCTAAGCCCAGCTTCCCTACTTGCCACGAGACCTACGCAGTTGTGCCCTGCTGAGCTTCACGTGTGTCTTTCCGACAGAGGTCGCTGGGAGTGGAGTCACCGCCGGAATTTAGGGTTTAGGGTTTAGGGCTGAGGGCTCAGGGCTTAGGGTTTAGGGTTTAGGGTTAAGCTAAATCCAAAAGCCTGAGCCGTATTTCTTGCTCATCATCCGGCTGCAAGCTTAGGGGGAAATCGCTTGAGGTTGGGGCTTGCGGAATCATAGGGCTTCATGCGCTTGTTCTCAACGCTATATAGTTCCTGTGTAAACGTAAACCCGTGACAAGTCAGCCTACTTGCCCTCGCTGCGAGGCACTGTGGGTTTGGGGATCCGCAGAGGGTGTCGGCTTTCTCAGGGCTTACTTAGGCACTACGGTTTTAGGCTTGAGGCGGGTTTGGCCTTAGTGTTTAAGGAAGCTTCGCCGAAGCTACAGGGCAGCGTCGGATGAAACTGGGAGGGAGGACTCTGTTCCACAGGTTTGCGGCTGTGTTTCCGCATGCCGGGTTTCTGGTGAAGCCACCCACACACACATGCATGCCAGCAAAATGATTGAATGCAGCCTGAAGATAAAGCCCTATGTGCCCGTATCAAAACACAGCACTAAAACAACATATGAATTTCATGAAATCGAAATGTAATACTGTCAGAGTGTAAGAAAAACCTTTCTTGATTTAATACTGATGCGCCCCGGCGGCCTCGACATGTTTGAAGTTTTGAGCAGCTGCTATGGCTATGGGAGAGCGCTGTCGGACGTTGGCTCGAGATTCGGACCGGCCAGCGTCCTTCGAAGCCCAGGAGAGGGCTTGGAAGTCCCATGACACCCTTCAGCCTTACACCCCACGCCCTCGACCCAACACCGGAAACCCCAACCTGAAGCCCTTAAGCCCTTGAGCCCTTGAGCCCTTAAGCCCTTAAGTGCTGCTTTTGGGTTTTTCGGCTCCTTTGTGGGTCGTGAGGTGCTTTGGGGGAGAGGGTTGAGAGGGGTTGGAGGGCTTCATACCATTCGAAACCTGGGCGTTTCCTCATTGTTCAGCGGCCTCTCCGGGGAGTTACCGAAGAGGCTTCGGAGAGGCTTCGGAAAGGGGAACCTCAGGAGGCCCATAGACGGTTTAGGGTTTAGGGTTTAGGGTTTAGGGTTTAGGGTTTAGGGTTTATGTACAGAACTTTCCGTTCCAAACTTCTCGAAAGGCTCCAGGGGAGGCCTTGAAAAGGCGTTTTGGGGTTGTGCGGATGGGCATTGTCGTGAGGGCGCAGTTACAGCCCCAGACTCTGAACCTAAACCCGCGCCCTGTCCTGGGATTTGCTTCTTTGACAAATCTGAAGCGAGGATTCTGTCGCGGAAGCCCTCGAAAACCCGCGCTGTGCCACCCCAGCAACTCCTGCATCTTCGCCTTAAACCTCGAGGGCTTCAGGTTCTCTAGGCAGGCCTTTGGATCCTTTGTCTGGCATATGTGTCTTCTTTCTTTAATTGGGCTTAAGACGGTTACGCCTCGACGTTCTTAGGATTTGGGACGTCAGACGCCAGCCTCTGAACTCGTAGCCTACCCTGGCAGCTTCAACCTGGAACCTATGAACAAAAAACGCACCCCCGGAAACCCCTCAAGCCCCTGACTGGGGGAGCACAGCCGCGGTTGGGCACGGTCGCCGCAAGGCAGGGTTCAGCACGTGGCGTGAGGTATGTTTAGGGTTTAGGGTTTAGGGTTTAGGGTTTAGGGTTTAGGGTTTAGGGTTTAGGGTTTAGGGTTTAGGGTTTAGGGTATGATAGGGTATGATAGGGTATGGGGTCTAGGGTCCAGGGCGTAGAGCGGCAGGTTCGACATTTCGTGTGAGTCAGGGTGCACGGGTCTGAGATTCAGGGCCCAAGGTATTCCCCCAAGCCGTGTATGGTTGAAGCTTTGCATCCTAAACCCAATGACCTGCTCCCCTTACATCTCTGCTAAATATCGTCCGTCTGCAACTCTTACAGTAGAAGTTATATAAAGTTATATATGTATACACACACACCACACCTGTTGCCGTGGTTGTGCAGAGGTCAGATAGCACAGCCGACATTGCAGGCGGGAATGTCCGACACCCACACACCGCCGTGGAAAACTCCTGATCGAAACCTGAACAGACCGAAACCTTGAACCCGAAACCCTGAACTAAACCCTAAACTCAACCCTAAACCCTAACCCCACAACCCTAAAACCTAAACCCCAAGCCCTAAACCTCAAACTTTGTACCGGCAGACATTAGGTGTGGAGCTTGTCAGACTTGGCCGACACTGCCTTGCGACCTTCAACATTCCATGTGTCCCATATGTCCCAAGAGGGGCCAGCAGCAGTTTTTTGTTTGGCAGCTTTCAGGACATGCAGGATCAACCCCAAACTAAACCCTGAGCCCGAAGCCCGAAGCCGTGACCTTAAGTTCTAGACCATTAGCCCCGAATCCTAAACCCGTGCCCAGTTGGGAGAGCCAGCATGTGCCAGACAGCCTGAGACGGCTTCCACAGGGATCACGACAT